GGCCAGGTGACATGGCTCACCCTAGCTGCTCAGGAAGCTGAGATCTGAGGATCGCAGTTTGAAGCCAACCTGGGCAGTAAAGTCTGTGAGACTCTTATCTCCAACAAACTATCAAAAAAGCTGGAAGTGGTACTGTGGCTCAAGTGCTAGAGTGCTAGCCTTGAGCAAAAGAAGCTCAAGGACAGTGCCCAAGCCCTGAGTTCAGCCAGGACCAGCACACACACATACACACACACACGTGCGCCATACACAAGAGGCATTTGGACCTCAAGCATGGGGCTCTGCCCAGCACACAGAGAAGCAGTGACCATAGAGGCTCAGTGCTGCATGGTTGGCCACACATGCCCTGTGGGGCAACCTTAGCACAGCTCAATGTCCCTGAGGAAATGTAGAGACAAAGGCAACCTCATTCCGCAAAACTGTTCATCCATTATCTCCGCCTCCTCCTCTTTCCATCACTACATAACAATGCTTCTCAGATTTTCTAAAAAAATAACTTCCATGTTCCACGAAGGTAAAATCCAGGCAGGCATCCTGTCTTCAACTTGTTTTCCCCCTGGACACACAGAGCCACTAATTGCCTCCTTGTGTCCTGCCTGGCAGACGGGGTACTGCCCACTGGCCCAGGGTAAATCAGCATGTAACAAGACTGTGAGAAAGCACAGCCCAGAAGGAGTGGCTTTTAGGAAGGGTACAACACAAATCTTCCCAGTGCTGAATGCCGCTCAGAGAGGAGTAATGGCCCTTAGCATTCCTCACAGTAGTGTGGGAGAAGACATGGGAGGAAGCGAATCACATTGATTCAGTATTTTGAGATGCTCCCTAGACAGAAACAAAGGGAATGTCACTAAAAAACTATTTAGAGACAACATGGCAATAGAAAGCTCGATGACATTGTACTATGTGCATTTTTGTTATCCCCAAGCCTACTTTTTCACTTTTTATTTTAATATTTTTAAACTGAGGTAGATGTACAAAGAAAAACTGCCTAGTGAACAGCAAGTCTTAAGAAGTTAAAATAACGTGATCTTGATCAAAAGACATGGGGAGGTAGGTTCTAGGGCTCATACCTGTATTTCTCCCTACCTGGGAGGCTGAGATCTAGAATTGTGGTTCAAAGCCAGTGCAGGCAGGAAAGTCTATGAAATTCTTATCTCCAATTAACCACAAAAAACCTGGAAGTGGAGCTGTAGCTGTAGTGGTAGACCACCAGCTTTGAGTGAAAAACTTAAGGGACAGTACATAAGTCCAAGCCCCAGTAGCAGTGCGGGAGCGCGTGCGTACACACACACACACACACACACACAGCTTTGAGTGAAAAACTGCGTGCGTACACACACACACACACACACACACACACACACACAGAGCTTTGAGTGAAAAACTTAAGGGACAGTACATAAGCCGTAAGTTCAAGCCCCAGTAGCAGTGCGGGAGCGCGTGCGTGTGCATGCGTGCGCACACACACACACACACACACACACATGCGTGTGGGGTATTCTTTAATCTCTTTTGTGAAATTCGCAAGATGAAAGCAAAGTGTTGTCCAAAGAGGTGAAGGAAGGCCTTAACTAAAGTTAGCTGTGACTGATAAATCAACTCATCCAGGAGCCTATAATCCTAGTTACACAGGAGGCTGAGAGCTGAGGATTGTGGTTCAAAGGCTACCCCAGGCAGAAAAGTCCCTGTGGGACTCTTATCTCCAATTAACCACTCAAAATCCAGAAGTAGTGGTGTGGCTCTAGTGGTAGAGCGCTAGCCTTGAACAAAAGAGCTCAGGGTCAGTGCTCAGGCCCTGAGTTCAAGCCCTACATCTGACTAAATAAATAAATGAAAGAAATCTTCTCTAATACCAGATATTTGCTTGACATCAATGTGGAACTGTAAACTCCAACTGTAGCATTGTGGATTGGACAAAGAGAAAGAGACATCCAATTCAGTGGTAAGGTAGCTCCATCTGCAAGGTCACAGGAGAAATCTCACTGATTGCTAATCTTACTGAACGATCTGCCTGCCTCCAGGTGATCAATTTTGTTTCCCTATCTTCATATCTAAAGGCAATCCAGAAGTTTGGTAGTTTCCTTAAAGAATCATCAACTAAACACTGACCACTCAGGCAGAAGAGTTTAGAATTTGTTTTATGTTGTTATTGTTTATCAAATAGACATGCTTATGTAGGCACAATATTCTTTGGTAAAAGGCACAACTTTAAGCGCATATCTTAAATAAGTTTTATAAAATTAATGTTTACATAATTACCACTTGGAACAAGATAAAGAACACTTAACCCCAAAAGCATAACTACCACAATTTGACCCTACTGATACCTCAAAAATGGAAAATTCTGACTACTGCAAGAAAGCAATCCCAGAGGTAACACCCATCTTGCAGACACACCTCCAGCCCTACCTTCAAACAAGTTACTTTTCAAACAATGAGATTTCTAACATTGCCCTTATCTGAGTACAGTAAAAACCAATGGAGAAAGGAAGAAAAGGTGGAAAGGGAGGAGAGGGGAAGGAAAAGAGGGAGGGAGGGGACAGAGAAGCAGTGTATGCTCTGCTGACCCCAAGTCCCAAAGGGAAATCCTGTTCCAATCAGACTTCCCCAAGAGTTCACCCAATAACAGCAATCTCCACCAATGGAAGAATCTAGTTAGAAAAGGTTCACCCATGCCAGCACCATGATGGCTAACCAGCCAATGCCAGTCAGCCCCAACCTGAGAACAAGCTGTGAGGACAGCATTGACTTTTCTAGCAGTAAAATAAACTTGTAAAACCAATGACTGCTAACCATTCAGGAATGCTGTGAGAACAAGGGAATAGGCCCGTGCAAAACTATACTGTATTTGACACATAAAAATCTGAGAGTCTAGCTGAGTGCGGGTGGTTTATGCTTCTAATCCTAGTTACTTAGAAGGCTGAGATGTGAGGATTGCAGTTTGAAACCAGCCGGCACAAGAAAGTCTGTGAGACTCTAGTTTCCAGTTAACTACCAAAAAAAAGCCAGAAATAGAGCTGTGGCTCAGGGGATAGAGCATAGCCTTTAGAGCAAAAAAAGTCAGTGCCCAAGCCCTGAGTTCAAGGCCCAGAACTGGCATGCATGTGCCTATGCAACACACACACACACACACACACACACACACACACACACTTCAATGTTTATAGCAATTGCAAACTCTAGCTCCTTGGGGTTGGATTGTGGGGTTTTTCTTTTGTGGGCTTGAACTTAGAGTCTGAGCACTATTCCTAAGCTCTTTTGCTCAAGGCTAGTGTCTAACACTTTGAGCCACAGTGCCACTTCTGGTTTTGTGGTAGTTACTTGGAAATAAGAATCTCACAGACTACCACCACAACTATGCTTATTGCAGCATTATTTACCATAGCTAAGATATGGAACCAACCCAGATGCCCCTCAGTAGATGAATGGATCAAGAAAATGTGGTATATATACACAATGGAATTCTATGCCTCCATCAGAAAGAATGACATTGCCCCATTTGTTAGGAAATGGAAAAACTTGGAAAAACTTATATTAAGTGAAGTAAGCCAGGCCCAAAGAAACGTAGGTCCCATGGTTTCCCTTATTTGCAATATCTAGTATATGTACGAGTCAAGCAGAAAAGGTCAGATAATGTGATGTCAGGAAAATGAACCCTTAGATATGTATTTTAATGTTTTTTCTCTCATACATGTGTTTCTAACGCATTTATAAGATTATCTCTTTGTTGCTTTGTATGTCCCTCCCCCACAGTATAACCCCTGCTTTCGCTATATTTGATGTCACTATAACTTGTGGAGGAGATGGGGAAAAACCAGTTGTTTAAGGATACAGGTGGATCTGATGCAACAATGAGAAGCACAAGTTGTCATGTCCAAAACGAGCTTTACAACGTCAGTGCGGGGGGAGGGGTGGGGGGGAGGGGGGAAGGAGAAGGATTGGGATGTGGGGGAGGGGGGAGGCTGGGAAGGGATGGGAAGGGTAAACAAAGGAGGAGGCTGCAATGCTTGGTAAGAAATGTATGCTTTATCCTGCCCATGCAATTGTAACCCCTCTGTACAGTATGTTCACAAATAAAATAAAATAAAATTAAAAAAAAAAAAGAATCTCACAGACTTGCCTGCCTGGACTGACTTTGAACATGATCCCCAGATCTGTCTCCTGAGTAGCTAAGATTACAGATGTGAGCCACTGGTACCTGCCTGGATTGTTTTTTAAAATTGTGTAGGGGCCCTCTGTGATACACTGGAGTGTGGGAAATCTGCCTGAAAAGGTTGGACACTTTGGACATCTGTCTATTACTCCCTACATGGAGTAATGTTTTCCGATGTTTAACGAAAAAAACTAGAAACACATTTTCATGCAAAATAATGCTTTCGTGTTTTATATTGCCAGTCCTGGGGCTTGAACTCAGAGCCTAGGCACTGTCCCTGAGCTTCTTTTGTTCAAGGCTAGCACTCTGCCACTTGAGTCACAGCTCTACTTCTGGCTTTTTCTGTGTATGTGGTACTGAGGAATGGAACTCAAGGCTTCATGCATGCCAAGCAAGAGCTCTACCATTAAGCCACATTCCCAGTCCTAAAATAATGCAATTTTTAAAACAAACATGGAATTCTACAGTGATACTGTAGGCCAAATAAAGCTACGGTATATGACCCACTGAGGGATAGCTCTCAACCTCGACCACAGGCATTCTGGCCTTCTAGAACTGGGGTCTCAATCTCTGTTCTCACCTAATCACTCTCAAGAGATGATACTCTAGCTCATGAACAGCAGTGGCTTGCTATACATGATTATCCTAGATACATGATCTAGGCTAAGATCAGTCAGTTGAACCCAACATCCACTTGTTAGATCAAGGTCCAGGGAGGAAATGGAGTGAGAATGGTGAGGCTCCCTACCTTATTTCCAAATCCATGCTGCCTGGCCACTGGAGGGAAATCTACTTAATGTGAACTGGCCCTCAGCCCATAAGCCCAAGAGATCCCTGCACTCCTTACCTGCACATCCAGGTTTTTCCGGGAGGAAGCAGGTGTGTTGGCATAGGAGCTGATGGAGGAGCTGGTGTTGATGTCATCCGTGCTGAGGTTGTCTATGGTGTCACTAATGCCACTGCTGACGGAGCTGCTGTCATCCCAGCTGAAAAGACAAACACATCCTGAGCACCAAAGCCTTATACCCTTCTAGCTCAGTTTGGCAATATAGACAAATGTGTACCTTCCTGGAAAAGGCCCAGCCTATGTCATAATGTCTCAGACAGAACTGAGATATGACTGGGATATGACTCATTTCCAAGGGCATCTTCTAGCCTTACTATTTTTGAACTGGCACCCTGGTGAAGTGGCTGAGATGTACCTTTCTCCCAAAGAGGGTATTTTTCATATGCAGTGGAGGCTACAGGCACTACCCATGTCCTGCTCCATCCTCTCTTTCACCTCAGGAACTTTATAAAAGCCAATTACTTTTCCCCAGGCCTAGTGGCAGTGCAGGAACAGTGAGTCAGGATTTAACACTGCAAGCATACAGGAAAAGATCCAACATTGCACTACCCTGGTATGAGAGGGGCAGAGGAGATGCTGTGTGAATTCTCTGGACTCCACCCTAGAACAAAGAGCCAAGGGAAAGAAAGTGGTAATAGTCAGCAGAAACCTGCCTGTTCTGTATTACTCCTCAGATGTTCAAGCCAAATCTCCTAGCAATAATTCCTTACTGTCACATCTCTCCACACCCCAATGCCACCTCCTGTCACCCTGCAGTGCAATGTACCCTTGTTTCTACTTATATGACTACACAGGCCAGGTAGTCTCTGTTCTGCTTCTCCTACTAATAATACATTCTCTCTTCAGCAACCTAATCTTCTATAGCATGATCAGACCACCCACTTACTCCACTGTTAATACCTCCAGCTGTCTCTAGGACTTAATAGCCAAACTGTTAAAGTGACCCTACCCTTCTGATCTCCCTCTTAAGTTCTGTCTCATGAACCTCTTCCTGTGCAATTGGCTTCTGTTCCTTCAGAATGATTCTCATTTGTAAGGTTTGTATTGCTGGGTGGCTGAAATTTCCAAAGTCAGGAACACACACACACACGCACACGCACACACACACACACTCTCTCTCTCTCTCTCTCTCTCTCTACTTAACACTGCTGAAATTTCCAAAGTCAGGAACACACACACACACACTATCTACTTAATTTAACACTTGCCTCTACATCCTAAACTCTGCTGATCAGAGAGGAAGAAAACCTCTTTCATCCCCCTGCATTTCACTCCCATTCAGCTTCCAAAAGCCAATCTGGGGGATCCTTCAGAAATGCAGGAAAAACATATAACAATGAATCGCAAGTAAGGAAGACAAAACAGGAAGAGCAAAGGCTCAATAAGGGGATAAATCCACAGGGTGCCAAAGGTCACACAGCTCTGTGACCTTAGCAAACCTCATATTAGTCTACTTCTGAAAAGCAGAATTTGTCTACTTTCATAACATGTGTTTTCTCTAGTCTGTATCCTTCAGCAACAATGTGACAAACTAGCCAGTAAGCGTTTGTACAGACTCTCACCAACCCTTGGAACCACTTCTACAGGTGGCTGTTCCCCTCACTTATGATAAGAAAACTAAAGCTGTAAGAAGCAGCAAAACAATGCCACAGGAAGGCCAAGCTTATTTTGTGCACACTTTCCTCTCTAACTCCAGAGCCACAGCATGCACTTACTAAATATCTCCTGATTGAATTCAGATGTAGAAGAGAGATGGGCAAAACTTGTCAGGTAAACTTGCTCCCAGACATAAATTCTGAACCCTTACCACTTAATTCTTTGACAGGTCACAACTTCTGTGCCTCAGTTTCACCAAAGCTGGCAACCATATGAGGCTCTGTTGGGAAAAGCATGTGTCACAAATGGAAGAGGTCTTGAATTTCCTTTCAATATTGAAAGAAAAATCCCATGAGTCTCTAATTGCATTTGCTTTTTTGAGTTAGGAATTTTAGTGTATCTAAAATATCTTATAATCTGATGAAGAAGAAAGAGGACTTAGGGAAAGAGGAGGGAACGTGCCTGGTAGGGAAGAAGAAGTTAATAATAGATTCTCGTATGTGTTTTGAAATTGTACCCATTCTTCCGTGTGGTCATTTCATATCAAGGTATTATTCCTTTCCAGAGAGTCAGGTGGCACTGACACACATAGATCTTTTCCCTATCAATACAAAGGATTGGGAGGTTTATCTTCAAAGTCCCTGTAGTTGCGCTGGCCTGGAAGTAGGGGTTGCATGATGGAACCTATAGAAAAGAGATGGGGGGAAAAATAACTCTTGGGAATGTGGCTTAATCGTAGAGTGCTTGCTTAGCATGCATGGAGCGCTGGGTTTGATTCCTCAGTACCACATACACAAAAAAAGCTGGAAGTGGTGCTGTGGCTCAAGTGGTAGAGTGCTAGCCTTGAGTAAATGAAACTCAGGGAAAGTGCCCAGGACCTGAGTTCAAGACCCAGGACTGGCAAAAGAAAAAAATTGATAAGCATAAAGAAACAGTGATACTGGGAACCCCATGTTGTGTAAGAGTGACCTCATTATTCCCCAGAGCTGTCTACATGCCAGAAAGCAAAATGTCTCTTCACCTTACTTTAGATAAGTTTATTTGAATATAAGATTTGCTTAGTTTCCCACTTGCCCTTTGCCAAAATTGAGGGAACAAATGGTCAGGATCTGAGTTCTAAGATGAAGTCTAAGGAAAACTAGTTCCATATAGATGATCTATGAAAATGATGTTGCTCTAACATGGGCGGTGGGGATGGTACCTCTTCTCTCCTGTCCCAGAGATTCACATTGCGCATAAACATCATGTCCGGTACCGAACCTCTAACTTTGCTCCCCACATTTGTAGGATCACAGAAATATACTGAGAAGAATGACAAAAACTTAAACATGCATGTGACACCTAGAACTGATGATGGCTACCTCAATCTCACTGGGGCTGAAAGCAACGTAGTAGAGAGGGAGAAGGCAGAGTTGAGAGAGATAAAAGTGTCTCTTTAAGATCTCTAGAGGTTCTGTACCAGCCATTTGTAGAGCCAGAAACACCTGGGGGATGTGAGAAGTAATAAAGTCCTTTCATTTGCTCAAAACAAAAAACCTAGTTAGATTTTTGTCATTTGGTGTGCACACACTTGTTAATAGGGAATTATAATTTGTTTGGAAAATAACTCCAGACATGTGGCTGAGATTCAGACATGAAAAATGTGGAAAGCATGCAGAATTCACTTAAGCAGTATGAATAGAAGTTGAACCAGTCAAGTGTGAAAGGGAATTAGGTACAACCTGAGACAGGTATAACAATCCATATACTCAAATCAGGTAATTAATGTTGAAAGAAGTTATAAAAAGTGACTGAAGCTAAAACTTCAAAGAAACATAGAGGCTATGTGGTAGTGAGACAGAATTCCAGTGAAGAGGCCATGGAGACCCAATAACACAACAGAAAGGAACAGTGTCTTCCACTGTGGCTCGGGAATAGTCATTCAAATATGATTTGATCATCCTCAGTCCTAGCTTTAAATATGACTGAGGAAAACCATACAAAAATCCAAAGTCTGCTGAAAGTCCTATGCTTAGAGATGATTTTTATATTTTATACAGTTTAAAAAAATGAGTGATTAAAAAGTTAGTCAAAATATAAATGCATTAAGTTATAGCTTTGTGATCAGTAATCTGTGTGTTTATATAACACAGATTAGAGGATATCATAAAGCCCTTATGATTTCATTTTTTAATATTGATTTCTAGCTCAACACGGGTGGCTCATGCCTGTAATCCTAGCTACTCAGGAGGCTGACATATAAGGATCACAGTTTGAAGCCAGCCTCAGCAGGAAAAGTGTGTGAAGGTCTTATTTCCAATTAACCACCAACCAGAAGTGGAGCTGTTACTCAAAATAGTAGAGTACTAGCCTTAAGGAAAAAAGCTCAGGGACCTGAATTCAAGCCCCATGACCACCACTACCAACAACAACAACAAAAATTGAAGCAGGCACTGATGGCTCACATCTGTAATCCTAGCTATTCAGAAGGCTTAGATCTGAGGATCACAGTAAGCCAGCCCAGTCAGGAAAGTCCATGAGACTCTTACCTCCGATTAACCAGCAGAAAACCAGAAGTAGCACTGTGGCTCAAAGTGATAAAGCGCTAGCCTTGAGCAAAAGAGCTCAAGAACAGCAACCAGGCTCTGAGTTCAAGCCCCCAACAACAACAACAACAATAGTTTTTGAGTGGAGACAATATCCAGAATAAAGAGAATCACCTCAGGGCCATTTCTCAGAAACTAAAATGTGACATAGGGTTTGGCTGGTTCTCCCATCTTTTTTTTCCCCCATCTTTTTCCTTGTCTTTCTGTCTTCCTTTCTCTCTCTCTCTTTTTTAAATTAACATCATATATATGCCTGACCAATCTATTAACTGAGACATCTACAAAAATGGGAAGATGTGCCCATGGATTCATCAAATCAATATGAAAGCACCATTGCATATATACATACATATATGTATATTTGTGTGTGTATGGATATACACGCACAAGTGAGAAGGTGAAAGAGAAAGCATACCAAGTCCCTTTCTTTCTGCATGCAATGTCCAATACTGGTTATGTTGGATAGATATAACTGTCGTTCTAAGTAATCAGCCTTAAAAATCATCTTCATTTATTTATTTTGCCAAAATAGTTGGGTGGAAGGAATTCTATCCAATTTGAACTTGTAAACTCAACATTTTTGAATTCTGAGCCAAGAGATTTTGACATCATTGATTTATTCTATCCAGTAGATAGGTGCCATGCACTGTGAAAGGCAGTCCAGTAGCAGAGAGGACTCAGTTGTCCCTTAGGGTGGCTGTAAGTCCAGCAGATGGGACAGACAAGAACATAATTGGTACAAATGGAATATAAAATAGGGAGATGAGCAAAAAGTATCAAGTGGAAATTACACTGGTTTTAGAGAGCATTTTTCTATAGTTCTCCTATAGCTTCATAGTTCTCCTATAGCTAATGTAAGGCCCATTCCTGGACTGCGAACAGACCTCGCCCAGTACCTGCATTACCTAGGCTACTAGGACACCTGGAAGAGGTCACATCCGCATCCAATGAGGTCACA